ATAACATAGTAAACCTTCTGAATATATGAAACTGCTTCACAGTCACATTATAGTTCTGCACAGTTGGTGGTTCTTCAACATCATATACAACAGTGGTTCTCAGACTGTGGGTCCCCAGGTGTTTTGGCCTACAACTCCCAGAAATCCCAGCCAGTTTACCAGTTGTTAGGATTTCTTAGATTTGAAGGCTAAAACATCTGGGGACCCACAGGTTGAGAACCACTGATGTAGGTGTTCAAGGAATTCATATGGAAATCACATGGAAGGTATGTGGTTGGGGGGAAGGGGGGGGGGTTTTGTTGTGGTGGGGTGAAACCAAAGAGGGAAAAGGGGTGTGGGTGAGGTGGGTGGGAAAAACGGGGGGGGTGAGTTGAAGGCCTAAACACCTGGGGACCCATATCTTGAGAACTACTGATATACAGGGAGGCTTTCCCTGCCGCCTTTAACTCAGGTGCAGGCAACTTTCCAGGGTTGGAGGGATCCACTGGGCCCCTTTGGAACCCAGCAGGGCCCACTGCCAGTTTTGCTATCACTAAACCATGTATTATCCCAACATCTCTGAATGGACAGTCATCAGTATTGATTTCTCAGTGGCAAAAAAATTGAACCCACTCCGCTGAAACTTTGTTTTTCTCATATAGCCAGAATCCACTTACATTGCTCAATAAAGACATTTCAGTGTTTCTGTTCAGAACCAATGAACTGGAACAAGGAATGGTGAGATGATCGCTCAGATGCTTCCAACTTTATATTCATGTGATGTTTTGCCAATGTTGGCTTTCATTACAGGCGAGTCAGATATATCCCCCTACGCGCTGTGATGTCCGCCGGCACGTCTCCCAGGAGCTGGTTGCCTGACCGCACTGCTGTCCGCCTTTTCCTACGCCAGGCTTTTGGGCAAGGGGCAAATGGGGAGAGCAGCCCACTGCTGAGTGGCAATGTGATCTAAAGGTAGAGATGTACGCCAAGGGACCCTTCAAGCCTCGCTGACTCAATGTGTCATGGAGCCCACACTGAGAAAGGGGAGAGTATACTCCCGCTGCAACTCTGCCCCTCCCCCATTGACCTCCCTTACATTGTTGTTTTCATCCGGTTTACAGCTAAGTAAACACTATGACTCCTTGGTGGTTGCCATCTCAGTGCCTGCCTGAATGGGAGATGATACAACTAAACTGGTATTTCAGTTATTGGGGCTCTGGCTGCCCATCTTTGTCTATCTTCTTCAGGTTCAATACATATTCCAAGCATCACTTGCTTTCAATAATCATTAATATAGCCATCATGGTAGAGCTCAACACATTTAGTTGAAGGAAGTGGCAGGATTCTGAAACCAAGACACTGCAGATAGCAGAGGATGAATTTTTAAATATCTGACCCTTATAAAAATCAACTCCCAGGTATTATATAAATTGTTAGCCAGAAGGTGAAAGAAGCCATATTCCTGATGTGCTGGATTCCTGTATGGCTGGAAACAGCAGATAAAAAACGACACTTCAGTTGCTCTCTGAAGTAATACAATCCAGAATGCTACAGCCTCTGTACTCTATGCCACATCATGTTTAGGTGGGTCCCCCCGCCGTGGACAAGCTCTTTCATGATATTGTGCATGCACAACAAGAGATGAACATAGCTAGTAGCCCTTCAGCAATGATGGCCTGAGAAGAAAGACATTGAGAAGTAGCAGCAGTTGGAATTACTTAGGAAGACGACCTTTTGCTGAACAGGTTTATAGAGTACTCTTTCCCCAAAGAGAGGGTCCAATTGAGATGATGGGATGTTGAGAAGAGACTTGTGTGCAGTGAACAAGAGGTGCAGATCTGTAACCGTTTGACATTCCTACAGCACCATAGTGTCCTTAAAAACAACAACATGGCAAGTATATACAGGCATGACAAATAGGACAACTAGGGTCATGCTGTAAAAATGCATATGTTAGAAAAAAAATGCTCCTTTAGCATGGGGCATCTGTAATAATAGAGCAGGAAGGCTTAATAGTAATTATTTATCATTTTTCTCCAAGGATCTGAGTGATTACTTAGGAAGAAAAACCTCTTACCACACCATCATCCAACACAAAAAGTGATTTGATTCAAAGTCACTCATAGGCTAAAGAGAGATCACTTGAACCAGGCATAATATGGAAATGGAGTACGTAGCAAATGTTGAAGCATCCTGGTCAGACAATACTCTTAAGTACAACATTCAGAACTAATGCTGGCTCACCTTTCTCAACCCTCATACTCAGTGGAGTTTAATTATATGAGCACTCATGTGGCTGTTTAAAAAGGGGGGAAACATTCAAAACCAATCATTTCCTCATAGCAATAACCAAATAACCAGTACCTCCATAGTTTTTTCTGTTATGTGTATTTCTTGAAATTGTCATTGTCAACATTATTACATTTGTATCCTGCATTTCCCCAAGAACTTGAAACATTATACACTCCTACACTCTCATTTCTTTCCTACAGTGATCCTGCAAGAAGTGCTAGGTTGAAAGAGCAACTTCCCAAAGTCATCCAATGGGGTGGGATTTGGGGTGGTATCTGAACCTGGACACCCCTGTCCTAGTCTGAGCCTCCAACCAGCCCACTGCATCACACTGGCTCTTCTGTCCATTGCATTCTTCCATTCTTTGAATAGGTCTTTATGGACAGACATCTACAACAATAAGAATATACACCACAATTTTGTTTACATGAGATCCTAAGCAAGAGAGAGAGGCACTATATTTAAAACTGCCCCTGGATGTGCAATAATATCATAGTGCTGCAGCAAAGGTGGTACCATAAGGAAAGAGATTTGCAGTGAGTGAATGAGTGACAACTGTACCTTTATTGCACTAACAACAGTAATTAGAAAGGCCTTCATCATTCAAAAGTGACACTCCAAGCATTCTTAGAACAGGTTCTTCTCTGCATTATCCTTGGCATCCTCTCCTTCCTCCAAGAAAGCAAGGTGACGCAATATGTGATTTCATAGTGAACTCCCATCATAGACCAAAATCAGTTGATGGCCTAATCTCGTATTCTGCAACTGCTGTTTAATAAAGGCCAAAGCTCAATTTCTTAGTTGCAAGCCATCAGAAGAGTATCCTTCCAATTGGGGATGTGGCTGGAGGTTGGGAGGAGATATTTCACTCTTCCCCATCTCAGCATTGGGAAAAATGTGGCCCAAAAAGTTGACAAAGTATGGTGCCTTGACTTTCACCACTTAGGGCTCACCAGGAAGTGTTTTTTGTTGAGTTCCAGATCACATTTTGGCAAAAATACAGTGATATGATTGGGTTGTTGTAGGTTTTTTTTTCCAGGCTATATGGCCATGTTCTAGAGGCATTCACTCCTGATGTTTAGCCTGTACCTATGGCAACCATCCTCAGAGGTTGTGAGGTGACAACCTCTGAGGATGCTTGCCATAGATGCAGGCAAAACGTCAGGAGAGAATGCCTCTAGAACATGGCCATATAGCCTGAAAAAACCTACAACAACCCAGTAATTCCAGCCATGAAAGCCTTTGATAATACAGTGATATGATTTGCCATAAGAGACATGCAGGCAAAAATTGACCCCTACTGTGGTTGTCCACCCCACCCTACCTTATCCTTTGCTTCAGGCAGCTGAAAAAAGGATTTGAAATGAAAATTGGATAAATAGGGGAAAGGTGAACACCTCCTCCCTTTCTCTACTGCAAAGCCTCAAAGATCAATTGATACAGAAAAGGGTTTTTTAGACTATTAGCACAGTACAATGGAGCAGAGATTGTGACAGAACAATGTCATAAATCTTCTTGACATTCTCTACATCCATTTTAAAAATAGAGCCCAACAAAAAACCCATCTTTGGGATCCCAAAGGAGTGAATCTAGCAGACACAGCCTTCCTCAAAGAATTTACGGAAAGCATCCTTCATAATCAGTGCCATATATCTCTGAGTCGGCAGGCCCATACAGCAGAGTAGTGTCACTAATGATGTACAAGCATTCTCACTCGGTCAATTTGTTCTCTCCAGTCAAGCTAAAGGTTTTCATAGCAGGGGAAAAAAAGAAAGCTCTGGAAGTGATAGGTTTGAATTATTCATCATTTTTTGCACATAGCATCATTTAAAAAGATTTAGGAATTTATTTTTTTTGGTCACAACATGGAAAAACTTGGGTTTTGGATGACAATTCCCAGATTTCTGCATCTGGCATGCCTAGTGATCATGCTGTTCAGGGGATTCTGAGTGTCGCAGTTCAAAAACTTTACTGTTCCAAACTGTGAAATGGGTATGTAGAAGAATGGCTGCATATTCTCTTCTTGCGCTTATCTAGCTGTTGAACAAGACCTCCTGCTCCAAGAAGGACAGGGTCTACTAGGAGTGAAGTTTACCAAATATATTAAAATACTCATCCACTTTCACCAAAGTGCTGACCTATGTGGAGCTATGGGATAGGGCTCCATTTTTAGGAATCTGGAAAAAATAAGGCCAAAGCATCCTACACTCTCTAAATGCTGGGACCAATTCAGACATACAGATTGAAGCTGCTCAAGTTACTTCTGCACAACCCTGCAGCAGCAGGAGGAGGGGAAACTATAAGGTATATGTCCTAAAAGGAGAAAAGGTGAATAGACAAGGAACTTACACTGCGACTGAATCTAATTCTTTACTATAAGAAGAAGTAGGGAACGTGTTGCTAGTCTGCACATAATTGCAGTGAACTAGTTTGGTATCCCATGCTTTCATGCAGATCCTGCTGCACAGTTAGATATGTAGGTATCAGGAGGGGAAAGATGCAAGCCATTGATTGCCTAGTCCTACTACATTTTTGTGTCTACAGAGAACAGTCAAAGATTGCCTTTGTGTGTGCATATTTACTTGCACCTATATACACACATACTTTCCTCCAAAGCATCTTGGTAAACACTGAGCAAGATCTGAAACCCAGGAAGCCCATAGCCCAGGCTTCCTGGCCTACTAACATCCCTGCCCTCAAAACATCTACCACAAAAGGAAAGCAAAACATTCAAGCCTAACCTTTATTATTATGCTGAGGCACATCTGATAACTGTTAAGTGGAGGAATGTGGAATGGCTTTGTAATAAATAAAAGAGAGGAGGAGATGTGGGGGGAAGGAGAACTGATGCCACCACTCTTTCAGTAGTTACCTCAAGTGCAAGAGGCAAAATGTGAGGCTTACGGGGCTTTTCAGTGGACAATGGAAAAGAGGTTTGGCATCCACACATTAAGAGGCTCCTAGCAGGGACAGGCAACCTGAGCAGCCTCTCCAGGTGAAAGGACTGATGGCTGAAGTTCCCCTGCCCCAGACCAGGGAAATGGCCAGGCTGATCTCTGCGGTAGAAGCAAAGGCTCTGACTGCAGCACCTCCTACCCTTGTCAAGTACAAGGCAGCAAGAAACACGCCCCATGTCAACGTGTGTGTGTGTGTGTGTGTGTGGTGGAGCAGGAGGGCATCCCACCCCATGCAGAACATCTGGGCATTCCGAGAACGGCCTCGGAGTGGCATCATCATGGAGACAGCTGTTCCTGAGCAGGCACAGGACTTCCTTTTAAGCCTCTTGTGGTCCCTTCTTCAGGCCAAAAAAGCTGGAGGATCGGGGAGGTGGTGCAATGAGCATCGGGGCTTGGTTTTTGTGGCTTATCTTGATCTGGAAATGTACAGAAAAGGATGTGCCAACACATGAGCAGGAATTCACAAGACCTTGAAGCATAGTATAAATCTGTGAGCAACTGGTTTTTTTGGGGGTTTTTTAAATTGGATAAAGGTCCCAGATCAGTGGATGCAGGTAGTGCAAAATCTCAAAAGAATAACACAGTTCCAATATAACCACCCTATCCATGAATACATTTTAGCAACAAGTTGGGAGATGTTTTGAAGGCAGTTTCAGCCTGGAGCTCTGAGGCCCCAGAAAGGCAACCCAAGGGACACTTTCGAAATGGCCCTTCCAGGAGCTTACCGTGCATGGTGCTTGCATCCATGGCTCTCCATCAATCTGCATGGGGAGATGCTTGAGAGTTCTGCAAAAGGAGGAGAGAACTAGCATGAGACCACAGAGGAAGCAGAGACTGGAAAAGACATTCATTCTGCTATCCAAAGAACAAATTTGGGAATTGAAGGTAAAGGTTTCCCTTTGACATTAAGTCTAGCAGTGTGCGACTCTGGAGGGGTCATTTCCATTTCTATGCCAAAGAACCGGCATTGTCTGTAGACACCTCCAAGGTCATGCGGCCGGCGTGACTGCATGGAGCGCCATTACCTTCCCACAGAAGTGATACCTATTGATCTACTCACACTTGCATGTTTTCGAACTGCTAGGTTGCCAGAAGCTGGGCCTAACAGCGGGAGCTCACCCCACTTCCTGGATTTGAACTGCCAACCATTCTGTGAGTTCAGCAGCTCAGCAGTTTTACCCGCTGCTCCACTACGGACTCCATTTGGGAAATGAAGATACCTGAATTCTGTTTTAGGACTGGTATCTTGCTGTGTCCAGTTTATACTTTTTGTTTAGAGTGCTCCAAATATTATAATACGAATTAATACAGCAGTTTGTAAGATAGTTCAGGATTTCTATCCACAATGTGAATGGGCTTCTGAGGGATAATGGCTGATCACTACACTTCAGCTCAGCATGTAACAATGCTTCCTAAACGGTGGTCAATTGCTACTGGTGGATATGAATTCTGCTTATGAATAGAAACACTGCAATTTTTGTTCCCCATAAATTTTCGTTCCCCATATCTAGGTTATAGTACTGTAATAACCCCTTGAACTACATTCTTGACACAAATAAAGACATGGCTGTTACTCGGACAGTGCCATGTATCTTCCCATCCTCATCCTTTCTTTCGGAGTGAATGAAGCTCAAAATTAGACCTATAAAAGGAAAAGAAGTCTCCATTTGGTGGAGGCTACTCACCGCAGCGTGATCTCTGAGCACTTGGCTAGGCGTTTGCCTGCACTCTTCAGTCCGGTGTAGATTTGCCCCATCTCGATCACACCCTCCAGGCCTACCACCTCCATCCGACAATCACCTAAGTCTGGAGGGAAATTAGAAGCAGAAGAGATGAATATACTGAAAATATCCTCATCATAACAAACTTTCCCTGGTCATTCCAAAAGTTACCTACAATATGGTCAACTTGGTTGTTCTAACCCAACCTGCCACCTAAAGAATCTGCCATTCCAGCTCTCAATTTCAGCTGCATAATTCTTACTCTTGATATCTACACAGCCTCCTGAATAATGCAACCCACCTGGTCCTCTTTCCTCTGCTCACCTTGTACACAGTTCTTTAGGATTTCAGCATCAGTGATGACTTGGGGCTGTGCTGCTCCGCCTGCTGTGCTTCGTGCTGCTGCCTCCCCCAAAGGTCTTTTGGTCTCACCCCAGAGGTTGGAGCCTCCATGCATGCTGGGAATGTTGAGTATAGCTATTCCAGAGAGTGCTCCACTGAGATCAACGGGCTGCCCACAGCACTAGGCAAGGGATATGTGTGGGAAAAGAAGTTAAGTTACTAAGTAACTGGCTGCTGAAATACAATTCCTACAACCCTGAGGAAGTGCTCAAAGACTGGAGCTCAATAGAGGACAGAGGACAACATTATGAAGCTGTGTCCCTCTAAATATCATTGAACTCCAGCACCCACTACTTCCAGCTAGTGTTGCCAATGGTCCAGGGCAATGGGAGATGGAATCTCAACAACATCTATTGGCAACTGTGCTATAAGATATAAGGTGGGTTTTGAGATGCAAGGGTAACAGAAGAGAAAAAAGAGTAAAGATGTTTAAACTGACTGAGCTACTACTCTATCTGGAACAACAATAACAACTTTATTTTTATATCCTGCCATCATCTCTCCAAAGGGACTTGGGGTGGCTTACAGATGGCACAATGGAAGCCATAATGATAAATTTGAAGCGGCCCAGGTAGCTTAGGACTACCCAGGGATATGAGAAAAATACTCTGCACTTGCTCTGAGGTAACATCTCATACAATGGGCTGGATCAAGGCATGGCATTTGCTGGTTCTAAAAGAACCTTATCAACAGTGGGAGTCACTGCACAGAAGAGAGGAAGCAAGCTCCTTTCAATCTTGATCACAACTAAGCTGCTCAAATCCAGGGGCACAAGGAAGATGGCTCACCTCCACAGTCAGACACTCCTTCAGCTTTTTGCATGTGGCAAAGATGGTCTCAGAAGTGGCGAATTCAAAATACCAGAGCTTGTTCTTCATCCTGTTTAGGAGGAAAAAAAGCAACACCAAAACAACATGCTGCAACACATGACAGCTTAGAAACTCAATGAAAGGTTTTCCACTGCCCATGGAGACCACCTTCCCCTGATTAAACTAGATGCTTCACGAGCCACATGGTGGCTACCAACACATACTTCCAGGGTCAGGCTATAAGAAGTGATGCTAAAGAGATCAGGAGCTTTAAAAGCATTTTTTTTTTATACTAGGATCATGAAAGTGACAGAGAGGGCCAGATTCAGATTTACTTTCTGGAGAAGTAAAATGAACTTTGAAAAGGATCCTGTTAACAAGCCAGCACAAGTATTGATGCTCCCTGCCATTCTGTACTAACCTGCTATTGAATTTTTCTGGGTATTTCTCCCTCATAACATGGAATCGATGGGCAATGGAGGCATCCTGGAGAAAGAGGGACGATAAAAATTAGAACGTATCAGGTTTTTCACAAAACTGGAAAGGTAATTGAGCAATGAAGAAATGGGATGGGAGGGTGCGACCCATGCAGCTCCTAGAGAGCCCTCTCTATCCTTCCATTTGTCACCTTCTAAAACTCTCTGCTATCCTGCACATCCTTTTACTTTAAATGTCCTACATTCTTCCTTTCCGCTACATTAGCTTCCTTGACCCAGTATCCTCAGTACTGGACTACAGCTTCCATCATCCCTGGACAGGAATGATGGGAGTTGTAGTATGATGTATGAGAAAGGCATTGAAGGAGAGGGAGATTCTTTATACTCAGTTGTTGTGTGCCTTCAAGTCATTGTTGACTTATGATGACCTTAAGGTGAAATTGCCTAAATACCCTAAAAAGGCGTGTGATATTGGAAATTATGCAGGATCAGCCCTGGTTAGCGCTTGGATAGAAATACCAGGTGTTGTGGGTGATATTTCAGGGCAAAGAACTGGCAAAACCACCTCTGAGTATTCCTTGGTTAATACAACCCTATGAAATCTGTTGGATTGTCATAAGCCAATAGCTTACTTGAAGCCACATACACAGAGGGCAAAGCTATCATGAGATTTTCTTGACAGGATTTTTTACAGGGTGATTTGCCTTTGCCTTCCTCTGAGGGTGAGAGAGTGTGCGTGGCCCAAGGGTTCTCAGTAGGTTTCTATGATTGAGCAGAGATTTGAACTCTTGTTACACCTAATTAAAAGGTAAAGGTTTCCCCTTGACATTAGTCGTGTCCGACTCTGGGGAGTGGTGCTCATCTCCATTTCTAAGTCAAAGAGCCAGCGTGGTCTGTAGACACCTCCAAGGTCATGTGGCCACATGACTGTATGGAGTGCTGTTACTTTCCTGCATAAGCAGTACCTATTGATCTAATCACATTTGCTTGTTTTCAACCTGCTAGGTTGACAGAAGCTGGGTCTAACAGCAGGAGTTCACCCCGCTCCCTGGATTTGAACCGCCAACCTTTTGGTCAGCAAGTTCATCAGCTCAGTGGTTTAACCCACTACCCCACCAGGGGGCTCCTACACCTAGTTACAGCTGCTTAAAATGTTCATTTTCACTCCCAGCAGTACAACAAAACATTATCAAGAGCGAAAACTTAATTGCTCTTGTTTATCATCATTACAGAACAGACATCTTAAGCAAACATGAACAGGAAGACACCCCTCCTTCATATTTGTATTTCATTTCCCCTCTCCAAACTTACTACACCAATAGAGAAGTAGTTGTTGATGATCTCATAAGGGACAGGATCACCTTTCTCGTCAGGGTTATCAGGCATCACCTGCACTGACCAGCGGTCCATCTGTAGTATGCTGCTTGCCTCAATATCTTTCAGTATCTTCACTAGGTTCTCACCATCATAACCTGAGCAGGAACAGATACATTACACAGAGAAATCAAAGATGAGTGCATGAAAAAGGCCATCGGTTTATTACTGAATTTCTAAAGACAGGGAAAAGGGGAAGCTGAAGCTCAGTCTGATCTCTTCTGTACACAACCACTGGAAGTTGCAGTCCCCCAAAAAGCTATCTTTTCCAAGGCCATAAACTCAAATTTTCCTTGACTAACTCCATCTTGGCCCAGAATGAATCAATATGAGATTGGCACACAGCAATGCAACTCCATGCTTTTCCTTCTCATGTATTACAGACTTATTCCATGCTTACATTTTTGGTAGGATGTTTTTATTTAAGAACGATATTAAGACACAATAGAAGGCACTTGTGTCACAGAATCAAGCTGCCAGAATGGTTTTAAGAATGTCACCAGTTTTATTTTACATATGCTGCTGTGCTTTTCAGGTCTTCTCTTTACATCTTGCCCTTTCTCCAAGGAGCCCAGAAAAAGATATAAGGGGCCACAATTCTCATTGGGTTAGTGTATGTGGGGGAAAAATCCTTCAGATTGAAGCCAGATTTTCCCAACTGGGATCTATCATCTATTTGGCATTATATTATACTTGACGTACAATATACTTAGTAAATGAGGCATTTGGATAAACTAAGGATTTGTTTTTTTTTTAAGGAATTCAACAGCTCATTCCCAAAAGCTAAAATCCCAGGAAGAACCCAAGAGAATCTGCAGGAATATTTAGTCAGTTAAATTGACCGTGGGTCACATCTGATGTTGCTATTAATTGGATTAATGTTTATATTCAGATAAATGCTACATGTCTAAACAGTGTTTATTTATTTACCATATTTATACCCCACCCTTCTCACCCTGAAGGGGACTCAGAGTGGCATTTACACATAGGCAACAATTCAATGCCATAGAAACAACATGCAATTAAAATAAACATTTACATGTTTGTTAGGAAAAGTAAAAAGCTCAGCCTCCAGTGGGTCAAATGTATGGAGCCCTGGGATACACTAGACCACGCACGGGGAAACTTCAGCCCTCCGGACTTCAACTCCTAGAAATCCCAGCCAACTTACAGGCTGTTAGGAATTGTAGAGTTGAAGTCCAAAATACCAGGAGAGCTGACGTTACCCTTGCCTACGCTAGACCAAACTGGTAGGGTGTACTCACCTCCTCCCCAGCGAAGGCAGCGGGCAAGATCATTACCAGTTCCCAGAGGCAGCACAGCCACTGGAGGTCGGCTGGGTAGGTTGGCTTTATCTGGAAAGAAAAAAAAAATGAATGTGCATAATGTGCTGGTTTATTCACCATACCTTTATTTACATTACAACAGAGTCAGGAATTTCTTTCCTTTAAGTCAAGGGCTAAAAAGATTATGGGCAAGAACATCAGGGACTGTGTGCAGGACATACAGGGGATGGAGAAGTGGGTTGAACTACATCACTGCTGGTCCCTGACATGACAGTTCAAGCCCCAATAATTTTCACAGAGAGTCTTTCTCTTCTTCCCTCCCCCTCCAATACTGTAATACAGCTTTTAAAATATTGGGAGTCAAAAGGCTACAATGACTCCACTCAGGGCACCTGTCATGAGCTGAACGCTCCTAAGAATTATTTTGGATTTTTGCCCCCAATCCCCCCCCCCCCAAAAAATGCCTAGAGGCACAAGGAGCAATGTTGCAATATTCTAAGCTTTTTATGTTTGAAAAAAATGTTCTTCTTGGCTCTAAAATATATCAGAGAGAACCTGGGAAAATTGTACCCTTAAACTCAATATTGTTTATTCCTAAACCCAAAGTGTTTGGAGGGCATTAAGGGGTAAAAAAAATGTTTCAAAGAGCCTGTGAGTTGTGGTTTCCCTATCCCCAGTTTAAAACTTCCTTGCAATGAGGGAACATCTACTTTGTCAGTGATGTATTGTCGAAGGCTGTAATTTTGTCAGTGATTTTTGCAGCACTGAGGAGAGGAAGGTTAGCCATCACTGATGCCATCATGCTCGCTATGTTGCCGTTACTCTCATTGCTTTTTTAGAATAGAGAGGAACAATTCCTTATTTGAAAGGATGCTGATAGGCCAGATGGCAGTTTGCAACACTCAGCTACAGCCTGAGGGCTGGAAAGTTCCCAACCTGTATCTTTTGTCATCTTTAAGATGTTAACAGACAGCAAAGTGCCAGAGAAGACAAATACATTATCAGAATTCAAGGGATTTCATTAATTTAATAAAAAAAACACTGAGCTTGTGAATTGATTCTCCATCACAACTGGGAAAATGCATGCCTATGAAATTTCTTAAAAGCTTTACCAGCCTTGTGAGCTGAGAGGCAATATAGAAATTCCTTGAATAAATAATAAAATAAATACCAATGGCATCCAAGATCCAGCCCACAGTGCCATCACCACCACAAACTAGGATACGGAAATCAGGTACATCTCGGAAAAAATTCAGCCTGGGGCAAAATACAGACATACAGACATCGAACATTTTAGCACCTAATTCTGGAGATGTCTCCCAGTCCTAAGTCACAGCCACCCTGCTATAGCCATTTGATTCCTGAAGTTGTGAAGACACCCTCCCAAAACCCTTATCCTGCATCTTACAAAAAGACATGAAACACAGGAAGGATTCAGTTGGTAAATATGGTAGACATGCACCACAGTTCATATGAACTCACCCAGGTCCAGGGCCACCCTTCACTAAGTTGTAGACCTGCCGTGGGTTGAGGAGATATTGAAATTTACGCAGCACCCTGCCAATAAGATAGGAAAGATAGAAATCAGCCAAGTCTGCAACAGACTATATTAGACCATAATTTGGACAGGATTCTAGATAACCAAATCCCTTTGTAATAACCAATTTGAGATCAGATCAGAAACTCCAAGTCCTTTTAAGAGGCACTCGGCAATTCAATCAAATGTTACTCCTAATGTGGAAGAAGGATTTCCCATCCTTAAAAGGAAATACATATTCTATGTCAACAGAAAGAGTGAGTTTCCACACTCAGATTTCTTATACAATGCCTGAGGTGTTCATTTGAGGAAGTGACTCAAAAAAGAAAAGAAGCCCTTGTAACTGATGGCCTGGTCAAGATTCCAGAAGCAAACCTGGTGCCCACAAAAATTGCATAGCCTCCCCTTGCCCACAATCCCACTGATCCCATTCCCCTCTCACCTCTCTCCCTGTTTCCCACCACTCTTGGGATTGACAAAGACAAGCAAGGGGTGAGTGTCAGGTACAGGGATGATCTGTGGAAACAGAGGTGGAAACAAGAAAAAGTTTGGAAGAGCAGATTGGTGAAGGGCCAAATTCAGATCCTACTCTTGTGGAAAACAAATGGCTGTAGTGTTCAGCATTGGAGGAAGCAAAAGAAGAACAGGTATATAGGTTTGGCAGGAAGTGTACAGCTGAAGCTGGATTCCCTGAGCACCCAACTCTTTCATGTGAGTCTTCTTTTCTATGAGGTCTGTGGATCTCAATACATATCTGACAACTCTAAACGTCTCTATAGGCATGTCTACAAGACAAGTATAAAACAGAACTAGCTGTCAGGGTTTTACTTTCCATTCCCTAACTTCCATCAGTTTTTGAGAATATTAATTCTCCAAGCATCTAGGTATGATTAACAGTCATTATTCAGCACCTATGGTGAAACATGAGTTCTCAGGGCTCCTCGGATAATTGAATCAGAAGAACATGATTAACAGCATCGTGCAATGGAGCCCTCTAATCCAACATGTCTGCTGAAAATATGACTGAGGGTTTTCTTTGTTGTTCCTAAACCACAGCAACTGAAACACTTTGGGACACTTCAGAAATGGCATAAACAAGCCTCCTTTTCAAAGGCAGTGACAGATTTGGGCTAGGTCATGGGAAGAGTGTCAAATTAAATATTATAGACAAGTGAAGATGAAACTAGTTCCTAAGCAGAAGGCTTTAAAATGAAGTATAGGATGCAGATATAAACAAAAAGCCTAGGAGAAAGGACTGCTCAGTCCTTCTTCCACTATGTGGCATACTTTATATATGCTGGACTACAGCTGCATGATCAACAGGCAATGATTATACTGTCTAATGATGATAAATGTTTTCTAGTGGACAGAGACAGGGAAATGTGTGATGCTCCAGATCACCTCTAGTAATTTTTAAAAAATTAAAAATGCCTCAAGTAAAAGGGATTTTCTATCCAGGGGTCCGAAGTGAGAAAGTTATCAAAGGCACCAAAATCTTTTCTTATGGAGGCAGAAAAGAAGTTACTGGAAAAGAGAACTGACACAGAAAAAAGATATGCAGTGTTTTCTCACATTAATTAAACTTGCAACTTCCAAGTCTATTTTTGTTCTTGCTCTGTTGTTAAAAGGTCTGTGTGCAACCTCCAGTTTCACATAGATGTAGCTTAAAAAAGAACAACTCTTCAGTTTAAGAGTGGTGAAGCTGAATATACAAAGTTTAAATTGGTATATGTCTCTAAATCGTAGGTCAATTCTACAGTGACCAAGTATTCTATTTCTCTAAATCCTGTATTAACTGTTCCCACACATAGCACAAATGATACGAGATACAGTAAAGTCTGGATTATCCAACCTTCACTCATCCAATGTTCTGTATTATCCAACGCAGTCTGCCTCCTGCCCGGATCCACAGGTATTTCAATACATTGTGATGTGTTGGTGTTAAATTTGTAAATTCAGTAATTACTCTATAATGTTACCTTGTATTTAACTGTTTTTTCTGTTGATTTGTTGTAAAACATGGTGTTTTGGTGCTTAGTTTGTAAAATCATAACGTAATTTGACTTTTAATAGGCTTTTCCTTAATCCCTCCTTATTATCCAACATTTTCATTTATCCAACGTTCTTCTGGCCCGTTTATGTGGGATACGCGAGACTCTACTCAAATGTCTTTCCTCATTTGATAAAACAATCCCTTGTCCTTAAAACAAGAAATGTGTCTACTCTCCCTTCCCTTGTACCTCATATTAAACAACAGGTTTTGCTGAAGCAGCCCAGGCCCCACAGCTTGAAAAAGTAATGTTTGGGCTGCAGTTCCCAGAAACCCTCCTCAATCAGCATTGCCACAAGAAGAGAGAGGCAGGAATCTGGTGACACCACCTTCCTGTCCTATTCCATGCTCACTCGCAATGCCTGTCCTTCAGGTGTGACAAATGGCGGAGCCGGGTCTTCTGAAGGTGTTCCACAGAGTCCGTTCTTCTGGCTGTTCTGGCGCTCCTGGAACACAAATGGGCAAGGATCAATGGGTAGAAATAGACTACTACACAGCATAAAGCCCTACATGGTTTGGGTCCAGGTTATCTAAAGGATTGCCTTCTCCCAAACAAACCACTCTGCACACTTAGGTCTTCTGGGGCGCGGGGGGGGGGGGGCAGTTGCTCCAACTAGCCAAAACCTGACTGGCAACCACCACCCAGAGGACCTTTTCATTGGCTGCCCCATGACTGTGGAATGACCTGCAGGTATAGCTTCAATAGCTGAATCAGATATCAGAATTTAAGATACAAGTGAAGATCTATCTATTCTGGCAGGTCTACCCAGATGTTTTAATGGTGAATTTTAAACTCCACGGTATGGCTGGTTGTGTTTTGTGTATTTTGATACATATTTTATGGAGTTATGTTTTAATATGCGTATTTTACAAAGTGTTTTAAAATGATTGTGTGTTTGTTTATGTTTTAGTAATGCTGTAACCTACCTCGAGCCATGAGGAGAGGCAGGCAAGAAATAAAATTACTACTATTACTACTACTACTACTACTCCTCTAAGAACTGGAGCTACCAATCTAAAAAGGTCACATTCCCACATTATGTATTAAAGTGCTTGAGATGAGCCCTGCAACAAAATACTAATCCTCCCCTACTTAATGAACTCTCTGTGAACTTGTGCATTGTGTCTGGTACTGACAGGCATGCCTGTTTTCAGAGCAAGGTTTCCTTCTATGTTTCAGGCAGGCACTCACAGCTTTACGATCTTGTCTGGTTAAAAATAGCTCTGCATTTATTTTATTAAATAATTTATCTCTCTTTTTTCAAACAGCTCAACATTTGCTAAAAGATGTGAGAAGAAGGCTTTGAGACAGACAGGATGTTCAGCTGTTTTGTTCGTGATTGACACAAGAGCTACTTGCTGCTGCTCAACCTGGAAAAACAAGTTCCTCTTGATCCTGGGGAAATAATGCTCCTGTGTGTCAAAAAATGCACAGTGTGCATGTAAGTGTCCACATATCCATATCCATACACACACACAAACACACACACACACACACATATATATGGAGCAGTTCATATGCAGAGATGGGAAGAAAGGCAAACATAATAATCTCTAGTAACTGATAAAATGGGAATCTGACTATATCCAATAGACAACTGTAGCCCAAAAAATAACTTCCATGGCCAGTCTGTTAATTTGGTCAATTAAACCCTTTGCTCTCACCAGCACAACAGGATAGATAGCTGAGGGAGGCAGGATGTGGTCTCTGAGGATCCCACAATCACACATTGAAGGCATGAGAGGCAGGCATTCATCATGGATCTAGGGAAAACAGTGAGGGATCAGCAATTTCTCAGAGCTCCTCCACTACCACCAACCCAAGAAGATGCAGAGGCATTGCCAAAGTCTCAAGTGCAGCCTCTTCCATTTCCCTCCCTAAGCACACCAAGATGGGATTGCTTTTGTGATTTTCCACTCTGTGCTATGAAGCAACACAAAAATAATCAACACTTGTAACTGATAAAATGAAATGTTTGGCTAAATCCAATAGACTAATAATTTCACTGAAAGGGAAACAATATGGCAGTTGCTTTTCATGTGACGTTCTCTGCAGGTATTGCAAAGCCTGATTTTACTTCCTCTTCCATTCCATTTGAAAACTAAGCATGCGTACAGAAGAACAAATGCCACTTGCTGCCACAATTATATATGCTGGTTTCTCTTTCTTCCTCATTTATACAGGTGTCTCAATGATCAGATGTTATCAGCCTTTTTCAACCCCATCCTCTCCAGTTGCTTTTGGACTAGAATTTCCATTGATCCCCACCAGTATGATCAGGTATGTTGGGAATTGTGAACAACACTACTAGAGCCAACCCATTTTAGAAAAGCCTTGTAAGTATTTTTCAAAGCAACAATGACTTTATTCATCTACCTGTCTTCCAACTTCACCTGTAACGCCTGTTCTATTATTGTTCATCTATTTAAAAAACTTTACATGCAATGCCCATTCTGAAGTGAACATCCAAAATTTTGAAAACGTCTGAAGTTACCTTCTGATGGCACCACGCACAGTGCACGCCTGTCAAGCTCTGAAAACTCTTGATCTTCTTTTGACACCGGTCACATTTACTGCCATCACAACCACCTCTTACCCAGACATGAGCTTGTGCCTGTCAGCAGAGGAAATGTGAAAGTGGCCAAGTGAGTAATGAGCTACTTCAGCATAGAATCATAGAGTTAGAAGAGACCTTGTGGCCATCCAGTCCACCCCCCTGCCAAGAAGCAGAAAATCGCATCCAAAGCACCCCTGACAGATGGCCATCCAGCCTCTATTTAAAAGCCTCCAAAGAAGGAGATTCCACCACACTCCAGGTAGAGTTCCACTGCTGAATGGCTCTCACAGTCAGGAAGTTTTTCATAATATTCAGGTGGAATCTTCTTTACCTGTAGTTTGAAGCCATTGCTCCGCATCCGGGTCTCCGGGGCAGCAGAAAACAAGCGTGCACCCTCCCACCTATGAGTTCCCTTCACATCGTGATACATGACCATCATGTCTCCTCTCAGCCTTCCCTTCTTCAGGCTAAACATGCCCACGTCTTTAAGCCACTTCTCATAGGGCTTATTCTCCAGACTCTTGATCATTTTAATCACACTCCTTTCGACACATTCCAGCTTGTCAACATCTCCCTTCAATTGTGGTGCCCAGAATTGGACACAGTATTCCAGGTGTGGTCTGACCAAGGCAGAACAGAGGGGAAGCATTCCTTCTTTGGGTCTAGACACTATACTCCTATTTATACAGGCCAAAATCCCATTGGCTTTTTTAGGTGCCGCATCACATTGTTGGCTCATTGTTGTCCACGAGGACTCTAAGATATTTTTCACATAAATATAATCTAGGAATTTTTAAGCTTTATTTCTGAATCCTAGAAAGAGGGCTAAACTATCCCACATTACAATAAACACACAGCACTCTGTATACACACACACATGTAATGAAGTATGCATAGTCCCTTTCTGGATCAAAACCATAATGAGCAGGTGGAAGACGTTTAAACTGTTGCATACTTTCTTCATTTTAAAACCTGTCTCATGAAAGGGAAGGGGAGGCTGTTTGATATCATTATCATCATCATCATTATCATCATCATCATCCTCTTCAGATGTGAGAGCACAGGTTTCACCCCCCCCCCCCCCAAATCCTCTTGGGATAATTCTCATCCAAATAAGGCCTGCGTGTACTTTCTTTTAGGTAAATAACATAGGGATTTCCAACTACATGCAACATACACAGCAAACACACGGGATTCAATTTTAGATTTTGATTTTTTACACTAAATATAATATAGTATATACAACAACGACGACGGTTTATTTATATCCTGCCCCATCACCCCGTGGGGACTCAGGGCGGCTGAGAAGTATGTTGTTTTGTCCTGAAGTACTAGAACAGAAATAGAATAATAGGATCCAGGAGCGCCGCACACAACACATCTCCTCCATTCTATTTTTAACTCTTAAGAGAAGTAATATAATGAACTCTCTTCCAACAAGGACTGAGGTGTCAAAATTGGGCTAGTACTTACTGTTAGCTAAGACTGCAGAAATTGAGGTCAGACAGACACAAGTAATAGATGTGAAGATGTAATGACTAAGAGATCAAAGTGTTGACAACTCCAGTCTCACAGTCTGGTGAAAGAAAGGAAGAGGCTGTGCAACCAATATTCCTTACAAGATCAGGGGGAGGTGGGGGCAGGATCAGAGTCCACATAGCGAACTGGAGGAGTATGAGACCATTCTCTGACTTTACAGAACAGTGGTAGAGGAATGAAAGAAGCAGAAATGGGGGTGCCTATAATAAACTCTAGATAATTAAAGCAGTTAAACAGAAAGCTGGCTTTTGGATGCAATGTCCTCTTCCCTTTATCATGTTACTCACACTGGTATCACGGCGGCTCTTGGCATAAGTACTGATGCAGCTTGGTGGGGCCTTTCGGGCACAACGCTCATGCACTGTGAACTTGCAAACTGTGGGCACAGAGATTGAGAAAGAGAAATTCACTGGCCCTGCCAAGCAACAGGGACTGAATACACATCTCCAGGCACAAGAAGCTCTCTCTCCTGCCGCAGCAGTGGATCCCAGGCACTTCTCCAGATTCTCTTTCCCTTTCCCCACAGATCACCCGCCCTTCCTTTTGGCTAGCAACCAGTACATATTAATTTATGTCCCTTCTGCTTGTGAGGGAAGGGAGATAATTTTTTGAAAATACTCCAACGGCAATAACTCTATGCTAAAACAGCAGAATTATTGATTACCAAAATACTCACTTAACATCGTCTAAGTTGACATTGACAGTTTTGCTCATGATATGGATAAAACAAAAGCTCACTGTAATTAAACATTTCCCATCTGTGATTTTTTTTTCATGGAACAACACAACTCTTTCTGCTTTTTCATACAATGTTTTTGGAACTAGAAATGTGGTAAACTTTCCCAATGCAATTCATTTCCCACTACAATTACTGTATGTAATGGATATTACATACAGTAATTGGATATTGATTACTGGATATTGCCTATGATATAATATTAATTCAAAGCATTCATGTAATGTAAGGAATATTGTTGCTGCTTCTGGATGCACTTGTTTGCAATGTAATTAACGATAAGTAATATTAATTCAAAGCATAATAGCGCCTGTGTTACATTTTGCAAAAACATTTTTCAAGTAGGTTTCTAATTTCTCTTAACTTTTATTTTTTTAAGGGGAATCTTCTAGTCTTCATTTTTGTGGTAAATTTGTTCTCCTCATGCCCTTTAAATGAGGAACAAAACTTTGAGTAAGAATAAAATTCCAACAAAAGAGCAGAACTGTAGGAAGAAAGGCAGATAAATAAATGGCTTTCAGGCGTATGAGTTTCTGATCCTTAGAAATCATATGTTCAGGTTCTAGTTAGTTTCCACCATAAGGGTCTCTTTTAACAATGAAGCAATGTTGTTGGAAGCTCCTTTTTGGTTTTTCCACTTCCACCTTGAAATGCTGCAGGACTATGAAAAACCAGTTTGTCAGAAGACTATGGCTGGATGTGTACCAAGAAATTTCCAAACAGCAGTATGCGACACAGAAAAAGTGTCTTCAATACAAAGCCAAGCGGACCTCTTTTTCTCAATGGAAAACAACCAGTACTCAGTCTTTCTCCACCTGAATTTGTGCCCAAATTGTTTATATTTTCTAATAAACACTTGAATAAATGCAATTTGTTCACAAATAAAGTACTAAATGTGACTTCTGAGGTTGTAGGCCATGCAGTCTATATGACTGTTACTTAGATGGAAAACTACCCACTTAAAAAGTTTCTAATACGGTCAGGAAAGTCTCTGTGGGGGAGCCCCTGCTGCTGTCATCATTGCAATGTGGTGCTGCTTAAGGTTCCACAAGATCTTATTCCCAGCTAACATTAGACCAGATCCCAGGAGAGGGCGACACTAGCCAAGGAACTATGAGTATTGGGTATTATTTCTGTGACCTCCAGAGGTACAGGAAGGACATGTGCTGCAGCTGAGCCAGAGACTAGAAAGTTTCCTTTAAAAAAGAATAGTTGCACCCATAGCCTTAAGACCCAAAGTTATTTATAATTGCAATTTAAAAAATGTAACCCTTTGATCTCCCATTTCTCAAAGAAAGTTTTAATAGTTACTTTTAATCACTGTTCAAAAACTTGAATGCTCTTACTTGTCAGTCTGTAATACAATGATTCTTAACCTGTGGGCCGCGGACCACTAGTAGGCCGTAAGGATGAAAATCTGGTCCGTGAGCCTCCTTTCTCTTTATTTTATTTTATTTTATTTGCACTCCTTTTGCACTGCCTGCCACTCCTTTCCTGTCACTGACCATGGCATATGTTCTGTATCAGAAACTAGAGCTGATGTGGTCTATCCAATGCAATTTTTTGGATCAATACCCCAAACTGAATCTAAAGTTGAACAGGAACTGATTTGTAACCTTTAGATACTAATGTTAGAGTGTGGTCTCTGGTCAAAGTGGTCCCTGGTCAAGTAGTCCCTGGTAAAAAAAAAAAGTTTGGGAACCTCTGCTATAATACAAAACACATAAATTTCTACCACTGAGTGAGGTCATAATTGCACAAGTTTTTGAAAGTTGCACCACCAAAGGAGTGACATTATCCTTTGTTAAAAAACAATGACAATGTAATGTTGCTATAGTGTAAACTATTGGACAAACACATACATTATAAGTAATTTAGTTATTTGAAACGACGGTTAAAAGGAGACCTTGGACATTATACCTGCCTACATTCTAGAATCCAATAAACAAAGAGGAATTATGAAATATTGGAGATCATTGTTAATTAAAAACATCATCGTAAGAACAGATCTTGCAAGATGCATGGAGCATTGTGCCTCCTTTTGTGTTTTTATTTATTTTGTGTCAAAAGCATTGCATAAATGAGTATAAAACTGATAAAATAGAGGAAGCACAAGTGGCTAAATAATTTTAGACCAAAAATGGGCAACAGCAACCACATTGTCTGTAACTTTAAACAATTCTTCCTCTGTGTATGAGGCAGGGCATTGTGGGCAAGCATACAGATGCAGAGTTGTTTGTTGTGCTCCACAGCCACACAAGGTGGAACAAGATGGAGGCTCTTTCCAGGGACACAGAAAAAGCCTCCCCCCAAACTGAGTAAATACAGTCATGCGTCTCTGAACCCAAAGCATTGTTTTATAATACTTTTAAAAACATTTTAAATTGGAGGTTTGTTTTTTTTCCTCCACAAATGGATGAGCACCAAAGGTCTTTATTAAGATCGTTGCTAACAATTATGTCCCTGTGTGTGTGTGTGTGTAATGAGTAACATAAAATCATCAATAGCCAAGCATCTACAGCTACTAGATGCTTGTTAGAGACAGGAAGGCTACGCATCTGAAGTATCTCAGAAGATCCTTCCAAAAAAGGAAGTGGTTGGAACAAATGTCTGTTGTTTCTCCTTCTTCTGCTCCCCAATTCCTTCATTCAGAAAGACAGGATTACCAAAACCTCTTGATGAGTTCAGGGCTGGATGCAGACCTTCCCACCCACATCCCAAGGACACAGTGACTCACTCACAAGTGCAGCGCAGGCCCTGCTTGCGCAGCCCAAGCAGCAGCGTCTCACACACATTGCAGTAAACGGGACGGTTAAAGTGCTTCAGGCGCCAGAGGTGCTGTCCATCATCCTTCATGGTCTGAAGCAAGGTAAAAAAGCAAGAGTCAAGACAAGTTTTCTTAGGAGGAATAGGTGGCTGGAAGGAAGGGCATCACTAATCCTAGGGCTTATGTGGGCTAGGCTTCTGCAGAAAGGTTTGCCATGTTTCTAAGAAACTGAAATCATGTAACACTTAGCTCAAGATCCTTCAGATGTGACAAGAAAATTGTACCTATTTATACAAATTAGGCTTTTTAGCTTCTGCTTACACCAAAAACAAATATAGGAATAAGTGAGATTTCATCTTGGATTTACGTTGGTCATAAATCCGAAAGTCAAAACTATTTTAAGAACAAAAATGAAACCACACTATTCATCACTTTATGTGTGAATCTATTTTTTTCTTGTAACACAATAAAGTTTTGTTGGAAATGGCAAGCTTCATCAAGCCTTCTCTAGCAACCTGTTTGTCTATGATCTTGTTGCTTACTGTTTCTTGTGTGTATGTTCTGGTGTGCAGCTTCCTTTATGGTTTCTGAGAAGTTATAAAGGGCTGCAGACCACACACACTCTCTCTTTCCTTTTGTCTATGTGACTGCTTGATAGCTGTTTTGATACAAGAGGGATACCCTGGCTGTTTTATGGGAAAGTACCTTTTTTGGGGCACTGATAAACACAATTCTAAAGCTCTGCTGTTTTTATGCACTGGCAAATCTATGTTTTCCTGACAGATCGGAGGCTGTCACTGCCTAGCATAAATATATTTGGTTGTATACTACAAGAGGAAATTCTGCTCTAAAGGGGGTTTTGGCTCTTCTCTAAAAGGTTATGCTCTCTAATAGTTTTGTGGTCACATTTATAATGTTTTCTCTTTGCATCCAAATCTATTACATTATATAAAACGCCCATGCAACTGGAGTAGATGAAAAAAAGAACTTGGAAACCTTTTCTCTAGAATACCATAAATGCTATGGAGAAAAGTGTAGCACAGAAATGATCTGCATTACTTTGTAGCTGCATTTAGGGGCAATATATTAGTCTTGTTTTCAATTTGTCCCTCACAAAATCGTTTCTGAAGCTACAGAGCAATAATTTGAAAACATTACTTTTAGGGAAATGACTACTCATAGGTTTCAAGGAACTACAGTCTCAAAAGTAATTTTCCAAAACACTTAAAAGCCCTAGATCAAGCATCCTCAAACTGTGGCCCTCCAACTTCAAGAAGTCCTAGCCAGGAATCCTGGGAGTTGGAGTCCCAAACAGCTGGAGGGCCACAGCTTGAGGATGTCCATCTTAGATCATAACTGTGCCTCCCCCTGATGAGCAAGATCTCCACTGGTTGGGCAGGAGTTTAGGGCAGGCTCTGAGTACCCCGGCAGTACAGTTTACAGTTTCATCACACAGTCACCTTCTCCCTAGGCTAGCATGAGCAGACAGGGCTTTGGATGCTCTAGGCTTCTCCCGAACCTCATTAGTTTGTTTGAACTTTTATTGAGAGGAAGTACCAGTATGGAAAGACAGAATCAACTTTATTCTTTGAGGTCTGAGACGGAGGCCCCATCAACACTGCCATATAGCATCCAGATTATCTCTTTGAATTGGATTATATTAGTCTACACTTCCATATCATCCAGTTCAAAGCAGATAACCTGGATTATATATGGCAGGTATAGATGGGGCACTACGAATAATCTCTTGGGCCCATACTGTACAGTTGTCTGAGCCAGGGAAAGTTTCCTTTTTTATTTAACTACTGCTCCCATTATCTTCCAGCCTCTATGGCTACTAGCCAAGCATGCTGGGGGATTCTGGGAGCAATAGTAAAAAGGAAAAAAAAGAAATCTTTCCAGGCTCTGACAACATTGTGGTAACATTGTTTCTACAAGATCCGAATATTATGTATGAAATAAGAATGCAGGTAGACTGCACACCTATCTTTTAATTTCAGCCCATCCACTTTCTCCACAGCCTCCATCTTGACCCTTAATACACTTACAGCCTCCAGTCCGAGCAGCACCAGAAGTGGGACAGTGGTAGCTCCACCGCGGAGCCATTCAGACAGAGACACTGTACCACTGCCGTCATAGTCAATCTCTCGCATCATCTCCTGCAGGATCTGAGTTAAAGGAAGATCAAAGAAGAGTTCATTGTGACCCCTTTATCCATAAATTTTATATCCCTGGTTTCACTTACCCACACTACAAAAAATACTGTCCCCAGAAGAGTTTGTAAGGCCCTCTAGGTCTTTCACCACAATTATATAGTATGCTTCCAATGCAAGTATTGTCAAAACATAAGGTTTGTGATTATAGATTGCTTTAGGTATCCTTGGGTGGGTGACTTGAAATGTATCCCTTGTAGATATGGGATTTTTTTGCTTCAGATGACATCAATACCAGGTCTAGCTCCATTCTATCTCTCCCCACCCCCTCTATTTCCCCTTCCTTCTCTCCTGCCGCCCCCGCTCTCTCTCTATATATTAGAATGCAACTCATATCCTCCTCCTTGGATATTCTCTGAGGACAATGATCTAGCTATGTCAATAGATCCATTCATCAGTGATGGCATATGGCAACTTCATGCCCATCTAGCATTATCTCACAGAAAAAACAACAACAACTGCACACATTTTGTATCCACAAAGCCTGTTGAATCTCAGGATGGGGAAAGAGGCAAAGAAATGGGGGCTTACCCTCTTGCAAATTACAAAAGCACAAGCAGCAAAGGGACTGGCCACTCTAGTATAAATATTCAATCAACAAAATGCAAGGTCATAGCAATTGATTTCCAGTTCTTTCTTTTCTAAGTGACTCCAGATCCTCTCTCACAAATGCAAATTTATGAAATGCATACCTCCCCTGGTGCTGGTCAGCACAGAATAGAGTTTGGAAAAGTATTTTTTTTCCAATTTCTGGTGCTGAAAGCAACATCTTCCCAACCGGTTGTAATCCATCTAGCCTCAGGATCAACACTGCAGAGCAGTATGTCCCAGTGAGATGCACATGCGTGTGCATGTAGGGGGAAGAAATGGGTCTGGTGCAAACTTGACTAGGATATACTATATTTACCGGTTTAAGCTCAGTGACATCCCACTCCAAATATTCAGCCACACGCATCATCTGTGTAATTATGCGATCCACCTCCTGCAGAAGAATACAGTTTGAAATCCATGTTGAAAGCAAAGCGGGGAGCTTAAATAAAAAGGGTCAGATATGTAAACATGCAACAGAAATACAGCTCGGGGTCAGAGCTTCGGTTTGATAACAGAGGTCATTAAACAGAGGTAAGACAAAGAGTGCACAGGAGAAGCCATCTCTGCTTAGTCAAAACAGAATTACAGTGTTCCCTCACTTATTGTGGGGGTTCCGTTCCAGGACCACCCGCAATAAGTGAAAATCCGCAAAGAAGGGACGCCATATTAATTTTAATATTTATACATTGTTTTATATATTATTTTCTTATCCACACTTCTTTACCCACCTCCCGGCCCATCCTATGGGCGCCTGCCTGCTCCCTGGCCTCCACAGACCCCGGCAGAGCCTCTGGAGCCACACAGGTAGCAGTAGGCCAGGGAGGCAGGCCTTCCCCACCGCACCTCAGGCCACCGCACTTCCCTGGCCTCCACAGGATGTAAATATTTTATACTTTATATTTTTATTAATATTTTCAAAAACCCACAAAACAGCGAGTCTGCTAAAAGCGAACTGCGAAGTAGCAAGGGAACTCTGTAGTATCTTTGCTCTGGCAGAAGATATAGTAGATAAGCAAACACTCCACTTGATTATTTCTACCCTGTTATGCAATTGTTAAAGATGCAGGAGCTATGTCAAGGGCATTTTAAATAGTAAGCCAGAATTGCACATCAGGTTGGGGGTCTGGTTTCTGACATGGGTTCAGTTGGGACAAGGGAGCACATGCATAATACAACTTTGAAAAGCGAATGTGAAAATAATTCTATCCCATGTGTAAAATTTATTCTTCCAAATCCAGCAAGGGTAGCAATTATAATGAGGATGGAAACAGACTTCCAACTGGCAGTCTCTTCCTAACACATTACAAAAAGGGGACATGCTGGAAAGGAATGTTTTAGCCCCCGAGGACATGAGAGTGATCTCTTGTGGAAAACAAAGTTCATATAAGTAGAAAAACAGAGGGAGTTGTGCGAAAAGGTAATCAGTAGTAGATTTGCAGAATCACAAAGGGAATAATAATGGAAGACAGAATGTATGGCCCTCAGATTTTGTTGGACTACAACTTCCATTCCTCCAAATTCAGCCTGGCCAGGATCATGGATGACAGAAGTCAGTGTCCAACAATAGCTGGAGGGCTACACATCCAGAAACTGTTGGAGTGTCATAAGACATAATGTACTAACATGCTCCTAGTGAATGGTGGTTGCCACACCTGGATATGTGTTGACATGTACACACATTTGTGTGCATGTTGTGGGACATTGGAGGAAATGAGCTAGTTCTTCTGCTTGAAATAGAGAAAAGAGGAATGGAGAAATAGGAGAATTAAAGCTTTTGAGGTCTCATAATACTCACTGAACTGTCGAGAAGGCCATTCCCATCTTTATCATAAAGCTTGAAGGTGACTGTGGGAGGAAAAAGAAGATGAGAAATAGTTACTCTTGGATAAGAGATCAGCAAGAGCATGGGAATTTCTATCATCATCATCATCATCATCATCTCCATCTCCATCTTGGCTTTTCTCCAGTTTGAGACTTAAAGCGGTTCACAACAAACTAAAAAAATGTTGAACAGTCAGAAGATATATAAATTAAAATAAGATTAAACAATAAAAAAATCAAAACCAGATTAAATCATATATCATTAAACACACAAACACCAGCAAAAATCTTAGCAAGATCCAGAACACGATTTTGGTAGGATGGGGTTTGCACAGTCAATAATAAAACACCAATCTAAACAAAGAAGCCTTTATCTGCAAAAACAAAGTAGTGATGGTGCTAGTTTAACTTCTCTGGGAAAGAAATTCCAGAGCATGAGGGCAGCCACTGAGAAAGCCCTCCCTCATGTTCGCATGAGATGTCCCTGTGAAGGTAGAGGGATGCATAAAAAGGCCTCTCTAAACATGGACTGGCTTGTAAGGGAAACTACAACCTTTCATATATTGTAGACTTGAGCCAAAAATCACTGAACAGTTCAGAGGCAGAGATACATTTATTTCCCTCTGCCTTGAAACAGCCCCTGAGGACATACAATGGTAATTTCAAGAAGTGGCATCATTACAGCCTAAAAAGCTTTCTGCAAAGTCAGAATGCCAGAGCATTTTATGACGAAAGAATTATAGTGATGTATATGAACAATGTGAGGAGAAGAATTATAGGATGGAGGCTGAATGCAACTGCCTAGGGCATGTAAGAGTTACCACATCGTGAAATAAATGGTCTAACAATGAATCAAAATAATAAATATAAATAAGGACACACATTTAGGAGTGAAAGGAAAAGTTATTATAGGATGGGCCAAACAAGAAGGACCTGGGAGGCTAAATGGAAGGGTCTCATTTCAAGAATAAAAGGGGAAAGACAGATATAAGGAATTAAATAAGACTATCCTCAGGATTGTACAATTATAATAAGTATAACAAGAGGAACAAACTGTTCCTGGAGGGGAGGGGCAGAGAAGGAGGGGGAAATGATGTAAAACAAGATACAGGATGATGAAGAAAACAAAATGAATATTTTTGAGAACTTTAGACAGATGGCTGTGTATAAGATGGTAACCAGGGGAAAATGATTAAATGCTCAAATATACTGAGGTATAAATATTCAACAGTATTTCTGTACCTTGTATTATCGAATGAGAAGTCAAGGGTAGAGGTTTTCAGGAGGGAATGGGGAGGGGTGGGACTGGGGAAAAATACTTGCATTTTTATTGTTGAATTTTGAAGATTGTATGTTTCTATGTATGTCTATATCTATACACATAATAAAAGCGAAAAAGTGTAAAAAAAATAGGAGTGATTCAGGTCATACTGAAGTGGTGTATGAATGTAAGACTTTCTGTGTCCATGGAAGAGAAGGTGGGTCAATTGGGCACCACAGAGACACATCCTGGAGTGAACTCAGCTCCTGCTTAGCAGGCTGATGGATTCTGCCATCCTTATTAGCATCACGGCCACATGTTCACAGTTTTCTGGTTACATAACAGAGTCAACTTGTATGAATGACCTTGTTGGATACTTTTTGCATTTCCTTTGTAGTCTGAGACTGGGAAAAGGTAAATGTCTGTAAAGGGAAAATGATTGCCCCTTATCCAGTTCTAGTAGTAGTCGTAACAACAGCAGCAGCAGTACCATCAACAACAACAACAACAACAAATTTATTTCTTACCCTGCCTCCCCTCAAGGCTTGGAGGGGGTATAGCACAAGAATAAAAAACCCAAAACCATTTAAACTATAGATTAAAAACGGAGAAACATAAGATTGAAACATACATTAAAATTATTCATACCTATAAAATGTTGGTTTAAAATTCATACATTAAATCATCTGGGGGCAGATGAGTCATGCTTGTGCAATTTCATTTTCTTTATTTGCTTCTGCACTATATAATCCTTGAATCTCTTATTTTATTAGCTTTGTCTTCCACCCACTCTATGATCTAGCTATATATGCCAGTGATGGGAATCTGATTTGATTGATAGCCAAGATATATGTCTGGGCAGAATTTGTTTGGGATCCCAATGCTACCACTGAAGGGTTGCTGGCCCTATCAGTGAAAGGACTGGTTTGCTTTTCTGCTGTATATCATCTGCTGAATCATTCACCATTGGTGAAACTTATGCTATAGCAATCATGTGTTGTAGTGTTTGGCACTGTAAGAACTTTTGTAGAGAACTGGGGTGAGAAGACAGTCCTGGAACAAGGCGCATCCTATTATCTAATGGTAGCAGCATGTATCTTTACTTGAGATACAAAAACTACCCAAGAATCTATCATCAACTTTTGCTTTCTTGCTCGCCAAATCTGAATCTGAACTAAAGCTCTTAACAGTATTTTATTCTCTTGATCTTTTGCATTAGTTGTCGCATTATCATAGGATGTCTATACCCCACACACCTGGAGAAATTATACCGTTTAGTCAGTATTGCAGCCAGTAATGAAAGGACCAAGGCAGTGACATCTCTGGCCAATCCTCCATTCGGATATCAGCCAGCATGCCAACATCTTAAATCAAGAAACAGCTTTCTAAGATCTACAGAGATACCCACAGGAACACCTCAGCAAATGAGAGTCCAAAAGTGGCAGGCTAAAACCCAAAACCTCAGTCAGTGGCTGATGCTGGATGAGAGACTCCCTCCTGGGCACACAGAAGACTTGGTGACTTGGAAGGCACTGAACAGACTGGGGGACTTGGAAGGCACTACGAGATGCAGAGCTAATCTTAAGAAATGAGGCTACAAAGTGGAGTCCACGAGATGCGAGTGTGGAGAAGAGCAAACCACAGACAACCTATTACAATGGAATCTGAGCCCTGCCAAATGCACAATGGAGGACTTCTCACAGCGACACCAGAGGCACTTCAAGTAGCCAGCTCTTGGTCAAAGAAAACCTAGCATAATGGCAAGTTTTTAAACTTTGTTTGTGTTCTTTTTTAAATACATTATAACTGTATCCTCATGTTGCTTCTGATATGATAACTAAACAAACAAATAAGTACTCACATTCCAGCTTGTCTTCTGGACGTCCACCTTCCAGTAGTGAGAAGTAGCAAGAAACATCATTGACGCAAACAAAACCACTGGCTGAGAGATAAAGAGAATATTGAGGTAATATCTGTCAGTAATCCTTCATTAAGAGACTACGAGATACCAAGCCCAACACTTGCCTACAGAGATGCTTGGTAATGCTTTCTTCTATTTCAACAGATTTAGTTCCTTTAAAAAAAGTTCCTTTAAAAAAAAACCCCATTCCAGTCAATAAATTTTGTGTTTAACAGTGTTTCCAATGGATGTCTCCTCACCAGAAGACATACCTGGCTCTGTTGTGGCTTGTCCTGCTGTAGTCTGGAAAGACATGAAGAGGTGGCAGCAAAGATCATTGGAGATTTCCTCAGCCTCCAAGTAGGTTTTCAAGAAGAGCTTGAAGCCCTCAAAATCTATTGACTGGCATCAGCAGAACAAGACAAAGAGAAGAGAAATGTGAGTAAATATTGTGAATGGCCCATTCCATTGGTTGTGATACAAGTCAAAGTTTTGATTTAAAGAAGACTTGGTCATCTCAGCGGTAAATGTACTGTATTGCGACAGCTGAGGAATAAATGGAATTTCCTCCTCTCAACACCTTGGTGGCAATTGGGATTAGGAATGATGGAAACAGGAAAGGGAGTAATCATTAAGAAACAAGAAATAACAAATACGGAGATAAACTGGGGATGTGAAGGGTACTTTTAAGGGAGGCTATAGCAGAAGGCTTTGGGTTGTAAGGACATGACAAGGGGAGCAGGAGACAGGCTATGACTTGAAAAAATTTCATTGAAGCATATGACAAAGTTTTCCATCATATTTTGGTCAGAAATCTAGTTATGGTAATTACAAACTAAATGATCATAGGGGTACATGAAGTCTTTTAGCTGTGCGGAAATGTATATTCAGTGACTTCTCAATTGCAGCTGCACAAACTGAAGGAGGTTTTGACAGGGATGCATGAGGCTAGTACTGTCTAAAAAATCAATTATATTCGTAGGTGGGAGAAAATAGTCCTGACTGAATGTGTAGATGACAGAAACTGTGAGTATCAGTAAATACCTCAAAATACATGAATAAAAGCCAACATTTCCTTGATAAACTGGCTGAAACAAACACAAAAAAAATCAGCAGAACACCAGGATAAAGTTGTGTGAACAGCTGAAAAGTTCAAAAGCATAAATATGAGGCAGGAGATACCTGACATGGCAGCATTATAAGTAATGTAAAAATCTTATGAGTATGGTCAATTACAAACTAAGCATTATTTTAGGTTGTGTTAATACAACTATAATTTACGAGGCTTGCAAGAAGTAATAGTGTAGAATAAACTAATATACTTTATTCTGCAGTATTCCAATCACATATACGCTACTGTCTCCAGTTTTGGAAGCCACACTTTGAGGAGGATATAAACAAAACTAAATAGAGAGAACACAAAATATGGTCATGGTCTAGAAAGTTAAGTCCTATGGGGAAGGAAGGAGGAATTCCACTCAGCCTCGAATACAGACATCTGAAGGGGAATGGCATTTACACAGAGGGTTGGTTTTTTCTGCCCCAGAGAACAGAACTATTATATCTAAATTACAACAGTATAGTTGCAGTTAACATTAGGAGGAGCTTCTTAATGATAAAAGTAGCTTGACAACAGAAAAATTATGACTGTGGAGGCTCTCTCCTTCACTGGAGATCTTCAAGTGGGGTCTGGAGAGCCATCTGGTGGTAAACTCTAGCTCTGAATTTCTTGCACATAGTAGGAGGTTGTGCTAGATGGCCTTCAAGGCACCCACTGATTCTATCAGTGAGAGGACAGAGAGCTGTGAAGAGAGTACCTGGGATGGAAAAGTGGCGCAGAGGGATTGGAGGGGAAGACATATTGCTTTGCAAGGTCACCTTGCATATATAAACACTTGGGAAAATCAATTTCTTAGAACAAGCTATTTCCCAAAAAGTAAAAAATGCATGAGGAAAGAAAAGAGGAATGTACTCACATCTCCTTGCAAATGTTGGGACAATTCACCCTCTCCATAAAATTCCTGGAGAACATCCTGTACTTTTTTGCTACTGTCTGTAAGGCAAAGATTGGATATAGAGATAACTATGCTGCTCAGATTACTTGGTACATGCCATGGCCCAGTGTGTATATCAATAGATAAAACTCTTGGGGTGGCTGGGGATCAAAACTCAGTGATCCTTTCTCAAGTTGGAAAGAGTAATGTGTAGGGGTAGGCTGCAAGAGAACACCAAATCTGGCACATATTATTCATCGGTTTAATTGAAATGGTGCAAAACTTTAGACATAATGCAATCTGATGTCATATTTATTCATGCTCTTGTTTAAGATGATTGGACCAATAACTTCAATCTGGCTCTTTTCAATCCCAGAACTGCTGATTTGTGCAGTTTAATGGGTTTTTATGTAGTCAGTTTTTAATTGTTTTACTGGTTTTAACTATGTATTTTTAATACTCCTATATTCAATTATATTCTAATGTTTATGTGCTTTCGGTTTTACATATTGCATGATTTTTACTGTTAGCCACTTTAAATCTCCTTTGAGAGAAAGAAAGAGGAACATAAATGCTAACAGCAAGGACAACAACAACAACAACAACAACAACAACAGTGCAGTCTTCCAGAGATTCCCATCTATAGAAAGCTCACTCAGAAACCAGACTTCTTTCCTGAGGTTTCTTTTCTGCAGACACTCAGTAAAGATTTCCAACTCCCACACAGGACATGAAGTCACCATCACTGGGTGGAATGGGAGACCGATAGACGCAGGAGGACATTCATGTTATTTTATGAACCTCACCTGGACTATTGGCAAAAAAGGGTGGCTCCTCTCTCGTCTCTCACCCACCTCGGCAAATCAAGTTAACTGAATGCAAACTCTGAGGTGGTGCTATTCCACAATGACCTGATTTTGGACAATGAACCGCTTTAATAATTCATACCTTCCCAACCATAATGATATTCCCAACAAACCACCAGTCTCTTTTCCTCATCCGATAACGTGACTAGCCTAGAAAGAGAGAGAAAAAGGGAGAAGGAAACAGACTTACAATCAAGGTACTTCTGCAGCTGGGTGAACTCTTCTGGGCTGAGTGTGGCCCATTCCTTGCTGTCGGACATGGTGTCGTCCTTATTCCCCTCTATGCCTGCAAAACAGAAGAGGCAAGGAGATCACGGGAGGCAGCAAGGCAGGGATGAAGAGGAAGCAGACAGAGAGGATGCTTGGGGCACAATCTCTCTCCCCCCCCCCCACCTTCTCTCTCATCTCCTCACACTCTTCTGACCGATTCGCTGAGCCGGCACATTCTTCACTGGCACAATTGGTTTCCAGAGCAGCAACTGGGAATTTCGCCACAGCACATGCAGCCACAGAACAGGCAAGGCTCCAGCTGCACAGACTCAGAGAGGGAGAAATGCCACTGGCAGATTTAACTCCTGGAGGAGCAGAGCAGTCAAAAGCACCCTTGGCTCCTGGTTCAGGCAAACTCTTGGCTGGAGCCAAGGAACACAGGCTAGTAGGGCATCACTAGGGCAGGACAGAACTGGTTCAGCAGCAGCAGCCGCAGCAGCAGTCACCTCACCCTGGCATGCTCCCATTCTGTCTCTCAGTCAAAAGGGACAGTCACCAGATACCTGCATAAGTGGCTGAGCTTCTCTCAGAACAACTGTTGCACCTCTTACCCCAGAGCAATCCCATTGCCACAAACCCATTCAGGGACAGAATGATCTGCCTGGAGACCAGACAATGGGCAAGAGGTTTTAAGGAGAGGAGAAAGAAATATGATAAAAAGAAGAGGACAAGGAGGAAGGAGAGGAAAACCCAGCAATTTGGCAATTTATACTCCTGTGCCGCAGATGGTGCCAACCCATATTCCATTAATATTTAATGGAAAAGAGCCACTGTGCTTGTGCTGAGGTTTTCAGCATTATTGCTGGAAGTGCCACACATTTTACAGAGATGAGTGGGAATTTGTAAATAGCTGGCAAGACTGAACCCTTATCAGCATCCCACTTCAGAAAGGAAAGTTATAGAGATTGCAGATCGCATTTAAGAGGTATCTATTAAGGACATGCCTCATTGGACCAATAAACAATCTACGCAGCCCAAAAGGTCTTGTCATCAATAGCATTTAATGTGGGGTACCTCAGACAATGCATATAACAAGACTCTAGTGACTATTGCTCACAACTTTCAGCAACTTCATATTTAGAGACTGTCTAAGCAGAACCCATAGTTGTTTGAGTGCTACGCTAGGACTCAAAAAGACCAAAGTTTAAATAGGTGATTGGCCATTGAAACCCACTGAGTGACCTTGGGCCAATCAGACTCTCTCAGCCTCAATGGAAGGCAATACAAATCCTACTGAATAAATCTAGCTAAGAAAACCCATGACAGGTTCACATTGGGATCATCATAAGTCAGAAACAACTTGGAGGCTCAAAACAGCAATAAAGCAGGACACTGTCCACTTGGATCACACTGGGTAATGCCTTTATCCTTTACTAAATATGTTTAGTTCCCACTTTTAAGCCCATTTATATCACTCACCTTCAACTCATGAAGATGAATGACAAGTCAATGCACTGTGGGGAAAAGGGCTTGTTTGTGCAGTTTCAGTGCGGATCCTGTAGATACCTTAAAAGTCTTAAGAACAATTTGCAGTATCAGCTAAACTATATTTGGTTTTATCATAGTAATTTCTTGTAAGCCATACAAGTACTTTAAGTTATTCCAATTTGATGTCAGGCCTTCCAAAAAAATGATAACCTAAGGGCACTTCTAGACAATGTCAAAATCCATGCCAAAGTGGGTTTTAAAAACTCACTTTGGCACACATTTGTGTCCCTACTCCCACCAAATTCCCCCCAAATTTCCTCCTAAAATAAAATAAAACTTACCTGGCCACCATAACCTTTCTCCTCACGCCTTCCTGGTAAGGAAATGACGCTTCAGGAGACTGGGGAGGGGGGGGGGAGAGAGAATCCCTTCTCACCCCAGCCTCCTCGTGTTTTATTTTATTTTTAGGGGGAAATGGGGGGCTGGGGGAGGGGATAGATGCCATCCCAGACCTTTGGGCTCCAGGAAAGGACTCTCCCCTGGGTAGTCCCAGAACTACCCGGAAGTGAGTCCCCAGGGTCCAATATCCCATTAGACCCGGGCCTTTTAGGAAGGCCCGGATCTAATGGGGGTATCTAATTTAATTTGGAACAAACCAGGGAAACCTGAAATTGTTCAGTTTTATCGGAGGCGTCGTTTGATAAAACTGAGACAGATCCCGGTTTTTGGGCCTGTCTGGATGGGCCCTAAACATGCACTCCTCTTAACAGATCTATATATGAATCTAAGTAGTTTCATAATATTTTCTATCTTGCTTTTAGATTCCTGCTGTAACAGATGGACACTTTCTCCCACTTAGTGAGAAGACAAGGAAAATGAATGTATCCCCTACAGTCAGAGGCATTACAGAACTGTACAAGTCACATTAAGTTTGTAAATTATGAATATGCATTCAAATCTACCCAATTTGATGTTGTAAAATGGTGTTACAAAGTATGGGAGAATAGTTCCCTTATCTAGCAGACTTCCAATTTGTATTTTGGGGTAAATAGTCCATAGCCTACACAAAACTCTCCAATGCTGTTTGCATGGCCCTCCAAGCCTCTTACCCCGCCATAGAGCCAATCACATTCTTTGTTTTGGTGCTGCTAATGATGTTTAAAAAAGTAGTGAGCCCAGCTAAGGATGCTGGGCAGGGTGAAACTGATATTTCACCTCCTTGCCTACAATCCAAACAACTGTTCACGTCAGGACGCTAGATGACAGAGGTGAATTTATTGCAGGGTCAATAAATTCCTGCATACCTTGCTCTAAATCAATACCAAAGATATAAGAGGAAAATGAAGAAAACAGAAGTACATCGTGGTGAACGGGAATATAAGCAAGTATTTCAGATATACAAAACATGCTTGCTAACTGTGGCTTTTGTCACAGGAATTCATATAAAAATCCATACCAAATATAGGTTTCTAGATTTCCTAATAAAGAATAGAGTCAGAGAGACTGGGCAATGAGCCAAAAACTCTCCCAGTTGAAATCTAGCCTCCACCATTTGGTCACTGGTGAATCATGGGTTTTTTTAGGCTTCCGGAGTGTAAGATTAGGATAATAATGCTAAACGAACTTACAAAGATGCTGTAAGTCTTGCTTTCATTATGGACGAGAAAAAGGAATAATTTGAACACCTTGAAAAAAGCTTATTTTTATTACATTAAAAATGTGGAGCCCCCTGTTGGCACAGTGGGTTAAACTGCTGAGCTGCTAAATTTGCTGACCGAAAGGTCGCAAGTTCAAATCCGGGGAGCGGCATGAGCTCCCACTGTTAGCCTCAGCTTCTGCCAACCTAGCAATTCGAATACATGCAAATGTGAGTAGATCAATAGGTACCTCTCTGGCAGGAAGGTAACAGCACTCCATGCAGTCATGCCGGCCACATGACATTGGAGGTGTCTAAGGACAACGCTGGCTCTTTGGCTTAGAAATGGAGATGAGTACCAACCCTCAGAATTGGACCTGACTGAACTTAATGTCAGGGGAAAACCTTTATCTTTACTTAAAAATGAGGGATATCAGTAAAATGTGGAGTATTGTCTTCTATATCCTAGCACAGGACTGCAGAATAAACCCAGATAAATGCCATTTGAAAAATACATATCATTTAAAGAATATGTATGCACCCTAAAGCGGTGTTTCTTTAACTGAGTAGAAACATGGTTTGTACAACTGTAGCACAGACTAGTTTCATAGGTGAAGAAAGTAAGACAGATGCACATATCCCTATCTGCACAAAAGCATAAGAAGAAGAAGAAGACAGGCATACAAAAGGATAGATCAACATGAAGCTAAGATACAGAGAATCAGACAATTGCTGCCTTCCTATGTATTAGTTACACGGACTGGCAAAAGCCTCACAAAAGTTCCAGATTGTTTTTTTTCTCTAACCCTAACAGGAAATGTCAGAAATTGAACTTACACTTGGCACGAACTATTGATCTTTTAGTAATATTTCTCAAAAATATGCAAGCAAATATTTCTGGTATTTATCTATAGGAGGCAACATCTAGAATAAGCACTGCACGTTGAGAACCAGATTTGCAGTCATAGCAAAATTGTTCTCTTTTCCTGGTTAAAAAGGAGCCCCCGGTGGTGCAGTGGGTTAAATCGCTGATCTGCTGAACTTGTTAACCAGAAGGTCACAGGTTCAAATCCGGGGAGTGGTGTGAGCTCCCGCTGTCAGTCCCAGCTTCTGCCAACCTAGCAGTTCATAAACATGAAAATTTGAGTAGATCAAAAGGTACTGCTCCGGTGGGAAGGAAAGGGCGCTCCATGCAGTCATGCTGGCTACATGACCTTGAAGATGTCTACGGACCATGCCGGCTCTTTGGCTTAAAAATGGAGATGAGCACCAATTTATTTTTATTTATTTAAAACTTTTATATCCTGATCTTTTCATCTTCGTAGAGGGACTCAGACCGGCTTACAGCAAGGATTCAATGCTACTAATACAAGTTAAAACATACAACAATACAAGATTAAAATACATATAGATAGAATACATATATACCAAATCGCCAAGGTAAAATTACGTTCAACTCAGTCCGCATATGTGGTCACTATCACGACATGAACATCAGATGAAAACCTTTACATTTACCTTCCTGGTTAAAATCTGAGCCAGCATTTTCATTCCCACATTTTGTTAGTCTATTTACCACCCCACACCGAGGATCCTCCCATATAAGTATCATTAAATTGATCCCTGCCTTACTTTCCTGAGCTGAGAAGCTACACCAAGGGCTCCATACTCTCTGGTGAGTGTAAAAAGAAAGGGCCTGTACTCAGCCCCATTAGTGCTAATAGGACTAATTGCAATTAGCACGTCAGGACAGGAAGGACACACTCCAGCTTTTAATGGGCATTTTAAAGCCCACGCAAATCCTCCTCACGTCAGTCCCAGACCAGTGCTTGCTTTCTCCTTTTCTCTTTCCTTGATGGCAGGAGAGAGATCATTCTCCTCTTTAATTTCTTGGTAAGAGTTTTTCCAGTGCTTTCTCAATTCCTCATTTCCTTCTCGTCTTTTCAGCCCCATCTTTCCTCCCTGTTTCCAGCTTTCATAATGTTTATAAGCACAGGGGGAACATGGCATGGGATCAAGATGTGATTTCTTCAGGAAGGAGAATGTCAGTATATGAGCTCCTCTGAGATACACAGCTATTAAAAGCAGAAGGCTCACCTCCCATACTGAACCTGTCAATCCTGGTGCTCATTTGCATCCCTTTGAGGCCTTCTTCCCACTTCGTAAAGTGATGGAACATCCAAGGCAACCTTTTTCAGGTTAAATTTCTTTTGAAGGGAAGAGCACTGAAGGTGTAACTATTTCAAAATCTTTTACCAACAGATTCAGCAGCCAGCATAATGAAGCCCAAACCAGGGCTAAGTTAACGCAGGCTGAAAAAGCCAAGAAACTAGAAGCAACTTGGGCTACCTTTCCAAACAGCCAGTTCTGAAAAGATCAGACTCTT